TTGTGGTGACCTTTAAGAAACTACCACTTGTCGAGTTTTGGTGGAGTATCAAAGAAAAATGACCACAATTATTTGAAAAGCCTATTAAAATACTCTTCTCTTTCCCAATTACACATCTGTATGAGGCAATTAATTTTCTTTGTATAGTTCAGCCATAACAATATATCATAACAAATTAAATGTAGAATTAGGCATGAGAACCCAGCTGTTTTCCATTGAGCCAAATATTAAATAAATAGCAAAATATAAACAGTGCCATTCTTTTCACTATTTTTTGGTGTGTGTGATTATAAGTATGTCTAATAAAAAAAAAGTAATTAGCCTATTGTTATTTTTAAATGAAGTACAAAATAAATATTTTTAAATTGTATCAGTTTTAATTCCTAATACAGAAGAAAATGTAGATAGATATAACCCACATAAAGACTCTTTGGGGTCTTCAGTAATGTTTAAGTGTATAAAGGAGTTTTGAGACTAAAAAGTTGGAGAACCACCATCAGAAGGATATAAAAAGAAGTTCCATTCAAGTTAATTAAAAATATTAATCGGAAATTAATAGATATGATGAAAAAAACAATTTTCAGTATTTTCAAATTAAACAGTATTGGTTTTTAATAAGATTTTTATAATTAGCATAGTATTTGAATATAAAGTGCCATGGAACACGCTTAGAAAGTTGCTTTTGTTCTTGCTCCCAGAATCGTCTCTATCTGTTTTACTCCATGGATAATTTTAATGAACAGTTTCAGTAATAGGGCCTTTCAGTCATGAATCCCCAAATAATGAGGTCTAGATTGCAGATGCTTAAAGTATGGTGCCCCAGTGCAAATTTAGGAATAATTACTCCTAGATCAGATATCAGTTTATTAAATTAAGGTTATGCAGAATTAAAATTGAACAGTTCTATGACTATGATAGAAAACATGACTCCTTCAGTATAATTGTTAGGATTACTTAACCTTTTAAAGAAATCCAGTTGCAACTATGTTAAAATAAATGAGGAAAGGCAATTTAAATTAGGCTGAGAATTTGCTGCAATTTGAAATCCCGTTGGCTTCCTCTGATAACTCAGTGAGAATGAATTGCTCTTAGAATACCTATCCTTTGGTATGCTTCCAGTGGATGTTTCTTAAGTAAGTTTAATACTCTCGTTGAAATATTTTTTGTATTAGTAATTTTTTTTTAACAGATTTGTTTATTTTCTTGTGAATTTAGTGCCTTCTTAGAGCCAAGCAGTGTGCCAGGCATAGTCACATACTTGAAGTATAGCAGCGCAGATGGTTTCTCTCTGAAATTCTGTAATGAAATTGCATGGATGTGTATGCTCCTGTAGGGGTGAAGTGACACAGTGGTTAAGCATTCGGCTGCTAACCATAAGGTTGGCAGTTCAAACCCACCAGCTTCTCCAAGGGAGAAAAGACCTGGAGATTTGCTTCTGTAAAGATTACGCCTAGCAGACCCTGTGAGGGAGTTGTACTGTGTCATACAGGGTCACTATGAGTCAGAATCAACTTGATGGCACACAGCAACGATATAACTTCAGTTACCATCACTGGTTTCTGGGTAAGCGAAGTCATATTAGGATGGTTTCTAGGACAGAACTGTGCTCCCTGAAGAGGCCATGCGTGGGTTTGGTGGGAAGAGCATGGATTCTGGAGCCCAACAGATCTGACATGCATTAGCTGTGTGACTTTGCAGAAGCCACTTGACTCTCTGTGACTTAATTTCATTACATTTAGAAAGTGGAAATGAGCACACGTACCAGATCTTCATCACACTAAAGATTTTGTTCAATAATTTTTGGCTCTAAGGTTTATGAATAACATGTTCAGAAATGCTGTGTTTTTTAAACCAGTGTTCATGATCTGGACACTGTTGAACACAGGATAGAGATCATAATTTTTAGGCCCATCCAAAAATATTAGTTTATCTGCACTTGTTATTCGTTTAAATTCATACTTCTGTTTATTTCCTTAAGTAACCTGTATATGGCTGGAAATTATCTTCTTTTGAAAGTCAGCTGCAAGATGTGCTTGAGTTTTTGTCCTTCGCAATGCATGATTGAATCACACCCACCTCTTCTAGCTTGGGAAATTCTGTGATCAAATTCCAAGACAGTTGACATTTTCTTTATTTAAAATTAACTGGATTGTCTGCTGTGTAACTGGCAGCCCATCTGCACGAACCTGAAAGCTGCAATGAAGCAAGGCTCTGTCTACTTGTGGGTGGACAGCTTCCCTTCTTAGGGCCTACACAGCACCTGATCATTGTTTTTTATGGGGTGAGGGGTGTATGTGAAAGGAGTATGATTCTCTGCCAGTGACAAATATTGGCGTCAGTTATAACAAATCTGGTTTCACACTCCTCCTGAATTATAATAACCATTTCAATGCTGCATCAACATGTAATTTTTCTGATATATTTTAATGAGGCATTCAAATTTAAGCCAAAATTTAACTGTGTATGATACTACCAATACCAATAACTAAGGTAACAAGGAACAGTGAGATGCCTTCTACACTGGCTGTGTCCACAAAGGACAAGCAATAACAGTGACATCCCAACTTACTTCTCTGCCTGGGGGTGGGCAAGGTGGTTATGAAGTCAACTGTAAGAAGCATCCTAATTTTAGAACTGTTGAAATGGGAACAAATATATGTCTTAAAATTGAGGGAATATGTTATGTTTA